ACCCAGCATGTGTACATGGAAACCTGTTTTGAGCCATCCCCGGCTTGGGGGTCACCAACCTCCCTCACCCCTAAGGGGAGACTTGAGACTTTATACCACGAGTTCCAAGCATCTGGGGCCTCCTCACGGGCTTAAAACAGCAACTGGTGGGGCAGGTGTGAGGGGCAGGCCAGGAAGGGAACGTGGTGATAAGAACTCGCTTAAATTAAGGCCTGACAGCCTCCTCGGCGGGGTTGGCTCCCGGCCCCGGGTCAGTGGGGCTGGCCTGGAGCCGCTGAGGGAGGACGTGCGGAAGGAAGGCCGTGCTGCGCTGCCTCTGTTCCCCTGAGCGCTGTGCCCTCTGGGCAGGCCGGCAGCCCCGGCTGAGGACAGCGGGGACCGGCAGCCAGGGTTCCCCCAGGAGCCTTGAAGCTGAGGGCAATTCCCAGGAGGCAGCCAGTGCCCGGGCCAGGCCCAGGCTGGAAGGAAAGAGTGGGGGCCGTGGCCAGGACCGCCAGCACGTCAGGCCTATTCATAACCCGGCTTGGCTCCCCAGGCGTGTCACAGAGCAGATTCTGTCCGTGAGTCACTCGGGGCCTCTCCGGGGTCTCCCAAGGGGATGAGTGGGGAGGGGGTCCTTTGTCCCCCCTCCTTCCAGTCCCTCTGCCCCGAGATCTGGCCTCCTGCCTAATCACCTGCTTTTCACGTGTCTTTGCAAGCTGGAGAGCCCACACCATAGGGGGCTTGTTCTCCAGGCAGAGACTTGACTGTTTGCACAGGGACGTGTTTCCAGGGTCTCCCCGGGGGCATGTGACTCCATCAGAGCTGGAATGTCCCTTCTTGGGTCTTTGGATGTTGAAGTTTTCTCCCTGAGGTCTCAGCCAGTCACATTGCCTGTCAATGTTTCTTGGCCGGCTCCCGGAATAAAAGCCCCAATCTGTAGCATTTGCCGATTTCTGCAGTGTAAACACCCCCATGGCTGGTTTCAAGCTACTAATGTGACGTCGCCGATTGCAGAGGACGAAGGAGATGTTCACACTGGGCTCTCGCAAGGTGATGAGAGCTGGCCTTGACCCGGTGCGGGGCCAGCCGGGTCCTGTCTCATCAGCTTCCGGGTTGTGCAGCTGCCCCCGCAGGAGGCAAGATCACCTTGAACCGTCTTCCATGACTAAGGCACTGACAGCGGCTATTTACAGGCCACCAAGGCCTTTGGTGGGTGGTAGCTCTGACAGCCGGGGGTGGGGGGCTGTCCTCCAGGAAGGGGCTGGGAGGGGTCCGTGAGGGACACACTCAGAGGGCAGGCCCAGATGGAAGTTGGAAGGGAGAGAGTCGAAGGGAGAAGAAAGAGACTCGGTCCTCCGCTTGTGGCCACCTCCGCTGAGATCTCGGTGCATGCCCGTCCCCTCTTCGTTTCCCGTGTGGAACGTTCTGTGCTTTGCTCATTTGGGATGGTTTCAGCGTGTGCAAGGTCGCCTTCCACCTTCTTCAGTATACAAGCCAGCGAGAGCCAGTGTGACCTGCAGTGTCACACTTCCAGTGTGACTGCAACTGCTTCCCTAACAAGCCTGGTACTCTGCAGCCGGGATGGGAAATGGTGTAGCCATCTTGGAGAACAGTGTGGAAGTTTCTAAGAATCATACATAAAGTTACCATGCGACCCAGCAACGCCACTCCCAGGAACCTACATAAGAGAAGTGGAAAGATGGTCACACAAAGGTTTCCATGGCAGCGTCACGCGTAATGGTGCCACGGTGGAAACAACACAGATGTCCACCACCTCGTGAATGGATAAGCAAGATGCAGTCCATCCACGCAAAGGGACACCATTTAACAGCAGAAAGGAATGCAGCGCAGATACACACAGCAACGTGCATGAGCCTCAAAAACGCCATGCGAAGTGACAAAAGCCAGACGTGAAAGACCACACGCTCTAGGATTCCATCTGTATCAAGTGTCCAGAAAAGGCATTCGATAGAGATCGAGAGTAGATTAGTGGTTGCCTGGGGTTAGAAAACAGAATTCAACCGAGTAAATTTGAAGATCTAATTGCTTTATTAAACAACTCACGAGTCGGATAGCATCCTGTGGAGCAAGCAGGAGGGTGCTCAGAGAGGCTGTACGAAACGGAAGGTTTTTATAGGAAGAAGGGCGGACCAGGAGCTATTAGCCAAGGAGGAGAAAGGGTTATTTTTAGGCCAGGACTTCTCCTCTGGGGAAAGCTACGGGAGGGGTCTTTATCAGCAGATTCGCTGCTTCTTCTGGGAGGGGGATGGGGAGGGCCCACATGACAGATGACCTTACTGATGCTTGACCAGAACATTCTAGAGTGACGGGTCCATGAAGACTGCATTTCTGGGAGAGGTTGAAACTGCATGAGATCAGGTCTTAAATCCAGGTTTGATATCACGGGCTCCAGCACCAGCGACTCCATTTTGGGCCTCTGGTTTTCTTTTTCACCGTGGGAACAGCTGGTCACTGCTCACAGGCATGAAGGGTCTTTTTGGGGGTGATGAGATGGTGGAGATGGTTGCAAACTCTGTAAATATGTTTTCAAAACTGTAGATTTATCAAAAATCATCAAATTGTATGCCTTACAATGGCTGAATCTTATGGCTGGCGTAGAAATTATACCTCAATAAAGCTGTTTTAAAATGTTTCCTAAGTACTCTTTTCAATGGGTTTATATTATTCCTTCAAGTTAGATGTGCTGTAATCTATTTGATATTTTCTAGTTATTGGACACTTGGGTCTGTGGTTGTGTGTGTGTGTGTGTGTGCTACAAGCAACACAGTGATGACATTTTCTGCCTTAGGATTACTTCCTCAAACTTATTTTCCAGAAGAAGGCTTTCTAGGCCAGCTGGGAGAAAATATTCACAAATCGTATGTTCAATAAGGGGTTAATTTCCAAAATATATAAAGAGCGCTTACAACTCAACAGTAAAAAAAAATGAACAACCTGATCAAAAAATGGGCAGAGGATATGAACAGACATTTTTGCAAAGAAGATATATAGATGGCCAACAGGCCCATGAAAAGGTGTTCAGCATCACCCATCATTAGGGAAATGCAAATCGAAACTACCATGAGATATTAGCTCACACCCGTCAGAATGGCTATTCTTAAAAAAAGAAGAAAGAACAAGTGTTGCAAAGGATGTGGAGAAAAGGGAACCCTCATACACTGCTGGTGGGAATGCAAACTGGTGCAGCCACTGTGAAAAACAGAATGGAGATTTCTCAATAAACTAAAAATGGAAATATATGACCCAGCTATTCTACTACTGGGTATTTATCCAAAGAACATGAAAACACGAATTCGAAAAGATACCTGCACCCCCATGTTCACTGCAGCATATTCACAATAGCCAAGACGTGGAAGCAACCTAGGTACCCATCAGAGGATGAAAGGATAAAGAAGACGTGGTATTTATACACAATGGAATACTACTCAGCCATAGGAAATGATGAAATCCAGCCATTTGTGACAACATGGATGGACCTTGAGGGTATTACGCCGAGCGAAATAAGTCAGAGGGAGAAAGTCAAATTCTGTATGATCTCACCCATATGTGGAAGATAAACAAACAAGCAAACACATAGATAAGGAGAACAGATTAGTGGTTACCAGAGGGGAGGGGGATGGGGGGAGGGCAAAAGGGGTGAAGGGGCACGTGTGTGTGGTGACAGATGGACACCAGACTTTTGGTGGTGAACACAATGCAGTCTATGCAGAAGCCGAAATAGAATGATGCACACCTGAAATTTACACAATGTTATAAACCAATGTGACCTCAAGTAAAAAAAAAAGTTATGAACATTTGTTAAGGTTTTCAATATGATGCTAAATACGCTAAATTGCTTCCCGGGAGGGCTGGGCCGATCGATAGCTTTGGTTTCCTGCCCTTTCCTAATTTGCGTGGCCAACCTGTGGAGCCCACCGCTCCTTCACAAAAGAAACACACTGTTCTGTATTAGAAGTCGGGATGCTGGTGGCCCTGCTGGAAGAGTAACTAGAAGGGGGCATGGGGGAGGGTCAGGTGGGCTGCTCACCTCCTGTTTATTTTTTGGATTGAGATATGATTTAATACAGTAAACTTTTCAACCTTAACTGAAGAGCCGGATGAAGTTTTATGATGATATACTGGCACAGCCATCACCCACGTCAAGATACAGGACATTTCCATCATCCCAGGGCGTTCCTCGTGCCCCCTCCCGCCTCCCCCAGAGCTAACAGCCCCTCCGGCCTCCGTCACCATCCGTTAGAGCTGTCGTTCTTGAGCTTCTTATAAATAAGATATTTTTATTTAAACAACTTAATTTTTAATAATTTTAATTAAATTATTTTATTTATTTATTTTTTTAAAGATTGGCACCTGGGCTAACAACTGTTGCCAATCTTTTTTTTTTTTCTGCTTTATCTCCCCAAACCCCCCCATACATAGTTGTATATCTTAGCTGCAGGTCCTTCTAGTTGTGGGATGTGTGACGCAGCCTCAACGTGGCCTGACAAGCGGTGCCATGTCCGCTCCCAGGATCTGAACCCTGGGCCGCTGCAGCGGAGCACGCGAACTTAACCACTCGGCCATGGAGCCGGCCCCTAAATTATTTTAATGTAATTGAAATTATTTTTATTTTAATTAATATGATTTTAAATTTAACTTAATATATTGAAGAATAAAATCACATTTTTTATTTGAAAAATTTACGATAATATTTTTAATTTGATTGAGGTGCTGGTAGGATAGTTACGTTCTTTATGGGAGAGCCACTGATTATATACTTATCTGCTTGTGTGTTCTCTCTCAATAAAAAGTCGAAGTGTGGGGTCAAGGGGGAAGGGTTTCAGGGCGCTGTCCCCTCCATGGGCGGCGGCCTCCATGCTGACCGTCCTCCTCCCGGGTGTAAACGGCGGTGCGCGGGGCCGACAGTGTGGTCTTGGGTGATGGCGTTGGAGGGGAGCGGGCAATGCCCCGAGCTAACCTGTCTCTCTCTTCTCTCCCCCGCGCGTCTCCTGCGGCAGGCTGTGTCCATCCATCTCATGTGCTGCGTGTTCCCGTAGAGCCTTGTTCCGTGCCGTCCGGCAGAGAGCTCCGTCTCGTCGCCTGTCAGGCCCTGCCCTGCCTCAGCATGGCCATCTCATCGCGCCTCGCCCTGTGGGAGCAGAAGGAAAGTGGCGCTCAGGGGGCGGCTCCACCCTCGGGGGACAAGCCACAGTGCAGGTGGCCCAGGCTGCCCCTCCCACCTCCGGCAGTGCCTCCCCCGGGGCATGTCCGGTCCCCTCTTCCATCCTCTCCCAGCCAGCTCGGTTAGCCTCGGCCTCTCCAGCCCAGCTGGGCACGGGTGACCGTGCCTGGGACCCCTCCCATGACAGCCTGGTCTTTCCCTGCCCCTCAGTGGGCGGCGGGGGAGCGAGGATTGACCAGCAGTCCCGTCTCCATCCTTGTGGCAGCTCTGATGAGCACCGGGGTTCTTGTGGGAAGAGGGGTCGGGGGGCACAGGGGTGGGAGCAGAGGCAGAGCTGTTGGCTGCCAGGCTTCTGCGACGGCGAGGGGTGTCCGTGGTCCCTGCCTTCTGTCACCATGGAGAACGGGAAACGGACTCTTCTCCCCAGTTAACCCTCTTTTCCTTTTTGTACTCCTCGCAAGATACCATGAAGGGCTACCTCTTTCTTTGATGTGTTTTCTCCGCCCCTCATCCCACCCTTGGGATTTGAAGAGATGGAGGCTGAAGGGTTGGGGGGGAGCACGAAGCTTCTCTCCCTCCTGACTGCCTCCGCCACTCCCGGACAGACGTGGGGGTAGCATTGAGAATGATGCTGGAAGGAGCAGAGGTTGACCCCGCTGAGCGAGCCCTCAGTCTCCCTGTCTCTTATGACCCGTGGCTTCCAGTCCACTTGGAGAAGGGGACGCATGGTGTAGACGTGAGCCCAGCCTCGCATGTCCCCTGCCTCTCCCCGCCTCTGCTCTGTCTCCCGGCTTTCCTATCTCCTCTGGATTCCCCGGTTATCAAAGATGAAGTCTTTGCCAGCCACTCGCGGAGGACCTTGATAAGGAGCCTATTTTAAACCAGTGTGTAGCTCTGCCATAGAAAGTGCTGGAGATTTTTTTTTTTGAAGTCATGAGCAGTCCCAGTGACGCTGGTTAAAGACACACCCAAGTGGGCCACAGCCAGTCCAGGTCTCAGCCCCCGAGGTCGCTGTGGCCCACGATGGAGTCTGAGTTGCAACCCACGTCTAGCCCAGCTCTGGCCTGGACCACGTTTTTGGGGTAAAATGCCTGTGTCCAGCCTGCCGGCTGTATGTCCCAGTGTTGGGGAGCCCCTCTGGCTGCCCAGGTCCTGGTTTTAGGACCATCGGGAAGCCCCAGCACGGGGTCAGTGCAGTGGGCTGTAGCTAGAGGGTTGGATCCTTGTATAAACCGTGGCTCTTGCCCCTCCCTCCTTTACCATGTTCCTGGCGCACAGTGAGCGATTAACTAATGGATCAATCTATTATATTAATTGCAAGCTGAGATGGGGCAGGAGAATGATGACCCAGTGGATCCCTGTGGCCCATTCTCGCCTGGAAACTGGAAAATCTGTTTTGGGACCAAGTCCTCCTGGGGATGCGTCTGTCCCACGCGAGGAAGGGACCAGCAGCCTCATGGTCCAAATATACCTTAAGAGGAAACTCGGTCCAGGCAGAAATCTTATTGACTGGAGTAACCTCTGCAGCTTTCACGGACCATCTTGGGTCCCCCCCAGAGCCTCGCCAGGCCTCGTCTGCCTTGCCGTGGCCTCCTACCTGGGCTTGGTCATGGATGTCCTCCTCGGTCCCCTCCCAGGCTCCATCGCAAACTTTTTCAAGGGCAACTTGCCCCCACTGGTTCACTCACTGAGCTTTCTCCTTCCTTATTTCTGCAAAACAGATCCGGGAAGAGGACAAGAGCCCTCCACCGTCCTCGCCCCCTCCCCTTTTCTCTGTCATCCCAGGGGGCTTCATTAGGCAACTGGTCCGAGAGACTGAGAAAGAGTCCAAAGAAGCGAGACGGAGGAAGGAGGCAGAGCTCGCCTCTCCGGAACGAGAGGTAAGTGACCCCACAGGAAGGGGACCCGGTGCCTGTCAATACCCACCGTCCTGTCCTGTGAGCCTCCGCTCAGTCCTTCTCTATCCCACCTTTGCTCCTGCTGTCCCACTTTGTGGAATGTCTTTTCTTCAGCTTGATCTATTGAACTCCTATGCATCCTTCAAAACCCAGCTCAAATCAAATCGTACCTCTCTGGAAAGCTGTTCCATTGCCTTCCTTCCTCTGATTCCCACTGACCCCTCTGTGCCTGCATTAATTGCAGTCAGCATGGTAATTACTTGATCATATGACTTGTTTGACTAGGAGTCCCTTCAGAGCAACAACTCTCTCTCTCTCGTTCAACTCTGCATCTTAAGCAGATGTTGTAGTACTTAGTTCATAGCGAGGGCTCAACAAGTGTGTGTTGAATGAATGATATCAGTTGATGTATGATGGTGGGATCATCCTACCCCTACTTCTGCAGAAAGGGAAACCCAGAGAGTAGCTAAGGATGTGTCATTGGCTCGCTTTAAGCAGAAAAGATACTCAGTTGGTCCTCAGTGGTTATGGCTGCATTGGTTATTAAACTATCGGAACCCTTCCATTTCAGGAGGTAAACGGCTGAGGCCCCAGCCCCCCCAAGTGCCCTCCAGTGGCCGTGCTCACCGAGGTCCCTCCCCCAAAACCCCCAAAATGGCCACAAGCCAGTAATTAAAGGGTTATTGCTTAGCGCAGGTAGGGACCTCCGTACCTGCTCCAGCTCGCGTCCCTTCTGATTGGTTGATGTCCACTAAAACCCCTCAATTATTCTGAACAGGACAGCTGGAATCAAGCAATAGTTGGTCAAGATGCAGCCCCTGTCTTTAAGAACTTGCAAATTTGTCCCTGATGGTGGCCAACCCCTCCTTTTCCCCAGCTCCTCAGCCAGGGAGCCCGGACAGGATGACGAGGCTGGACACCAGGGAGGCAGGCTTAGGGTGCAGTGCACCCTGAGGGATGTCCTTTTTTCATCCTCATCTGTTAAACTCTTATGCAGCCTTCAAAACCCAGCTCAAATAGTGCATCTCTGGAAATAGTGCCTCTGTGTTAGGCAGAACGGGCATCTCCTTGTGTCTCTCCAGCACCCCCTTGAGGTGGGGCAAATGCCGCAATGATTGGGCTGAGACATCTGGTGGCTGTGGGATCTAGAGTTGTCATGAGCCCAGGGGCCACCCTCACTCCACCTCCCCCTCCGCTTCAGCTGTTTGCCCGGCCGGCCCTCCATGTGCCTGCATCTGTCCAATTACGACTTGGCTGCATCAGAGAAGTCCTCCGGCAGCTGAATAGCAGCAGCTGCTGGAGCCCCTGCCAAGTCTTTGTGGGGGAAGAAGACAGGAAGGACAGGCGCTGTCCCCACCCCTGCCTGACCCAGATGTAGGCAGGGGCCAAAGTCGCCCCCTGTAGGCTGGTGTTAGGTCATGATGAAATATTGCTGTGTGCCGTTTGTCACTAGACGATGCTCTCTGTGCTCTCATGGGTGTATTTGTGCGGTAGTGGGGGAGATGGAATTACACCCACTTCTCAGAGGGGGAGACCGAGGCTCTGAGAGGTCAAGCGACTTGCCCCAGCTCCGGAGGCCAGCCAGAGGCAGAGCCAGGGCGAGAGTCTGGGCATTCTCTGCTCTCGCCAGCTGCCTGCGGAAGGGGCAGGTCTGGGGAGTGAGGCGGCCAGCGTGGTGGCCCCAGGGGCCTGGGGAGGAGAGGGCTCCCTGAGGCTGCAGGCCGTGCTGGCGTTGCTGTCCGTAAGTTAAGAAGCAGAGCCGAGCAGAGGACAGGGACAGGCTGTCATCGCTGGGCCTGGACAGAGACTCAGAGCCAAGATGCGGGATGGACGGGCCCCAGACCACGACAGGTGTCTGGACCACGGGCCAAGACGTTCCTGGGCCCGGAGCAGGGCAGCCTGGGGACATGTTCCTGTGAGGCGGCAAGCCCTGGCTGGCTCCTGCCAGTTGAATTTTCTTGTCCCCATCAGTCAATAACTCCAGACACTCTCTCCTCATCCCAGTGCAGCCGCGTCATTTGACCCTCATATAATCCTCGCCGGGAGCCATCAGGATCCATCCCCATTTTGTAGGAACAGAAAACAAGGCCCAGGGACGTGACTTGGTTTTCACAAGGCCACCCAGCTGGTGAGGGACAGGGAGAGGCTGGAATAGCACTGAGGTAGAAAGGGACCCATATCGAATGTCGGGAGAACTCGGTTCCAGCTCTGGCCCCCTCACTCTGTGTGGTTCAGGCCAAATCCTTTCCCTGCTCTTGGCCTCAGTTTGCTCGTCTGTGAAATGGATGTGCTGTGAGTTTCCGCTCGGCTCCTCCGGTACCCTAAGAAGGCCGCACGGGGGACACAGGGCTTTGGGGACTAGAAACACAAAGGAGGAGAGTTCACGGGGTCGGGGGAGGAGGCTGGGATTGTTGTCCTGTCTGGCCCATCCCCACGTTACCGTCTCCTCCGTGGTGGTTGGTTAAAAATAAGGCGCTGACTCACTTTCAAAATGGTGTACACAGGGGTGAGATGTGCCAGGCGTGGCCGATCTCCGTTCCGGGGCTGTGTCCTCTCTGGCCCCCGGAGGTCAGACTTTGCCACCAGGCTCGGGGCCCCAGGGCGGGGGTTCTCGGTCCTGTTTGCATGTCGGAATCACAGAGGAGTCACCACCCAGACCAATCACACCAGACTCCGGGAGTGGGGCCCATGCACGAGTATCCTTTAAAGGTCCCGGGAGACTCCAGTGAGCCCCAGGGAGACAAGAAGGACATTAATGTGAGCAGTTCAGGGCACTGGCTTTTGGCTCAGAGAGGCCTGCGTGACGTCACCTTCTGGCTTTGTGTCTCGGGCCATACTGTTTTTGTGTTGGCTTCCTTATATGTCGGACTGGGGGAAGTTCCAACCCCACCACGGTGGGTTCTCACATGGGTGAAGCAGGATGTGGCCCGATGGTGATGAAGGGCCCATTGCAAACGACCTATAAATTATGGCTGTTATTATCATCATCGTCATTGTCACGAAGATGAAGACAAGGGCTGTGCTCTTGAGGCCTCCACCACCTAAAACAGAAGAGGGACCCAAATCAAGGCCAGAAGCAGAACGTGGCCATTGCTGCAGACGGCGTGCCGGCCCAGTGCCCCAGGGTGTCGGGGGCATAGGGGACAATTTCGGATCGAGGTCCTTAGGCGAAGCTTTGCAAGGAGGCGACATTTGAGCTGGGTATAGAAAGCTGAGACGAGCACGGATGCGGGAAGCGGGCAGGGCTCTCCAGGCAGCAAGCTCAGCATGAATGGGAGCATGGAAGCAGGGAGGCGTCAGACGTGGTGGGAGATGCCCCATGTGGCTGAGGCATCGAGATAAATGGGGACAGTGAGACCAAGGTGGGTGGGGGGCTCCTCGCTGAGCACTTTGAGTGGCAGCTGGTGGTGTTGAACAGTTTTCCCGTAGCCTGTGGGCAGTGGCCCAAGTCTTTTGATCAGGTTTAAAGTGATGGGCAGCGAGTGGAAGGGACGCCAGCGCAGAGCGTGTGACCGTGGCCCGGGTGAGCGAGAGTGGACCTGGATTTGAGAAAGGAGACAGACATGAGGCTTTGCAGAGTGGAATCGAGATGATCCTGGGGCCGGTTTAGATGCAAGAGGACGATGTGAAGTGCAGATTCCCAGGCCTGGGGGTGGGGGATGCTGGCCTTAGTGTGGTCCAAGATGGCAGAACCCAGACGAGGGCAGGTGGTGAGGTCAGGGCGGAGCAGAACCGCCCACCGGGTCGCTTTCCGCAGAGGCAGAGGGAAGGCTGGCCCTGAGAACAAGGCAGGCCACAGCCTGACTGGAGGATGGAGGGCTGGACGGGGCTGACATCACAAGGTGGTAAAAGGGCCTGGGAGAGGAGCGGGCGGTGGAGACCGGGGGCCGGATGTAGCCCCGATGTCTGGGTCAGGCAGGAGTGGAGGGGCTCGGGGCGGGAGCCAGGGCCCTTGCCTGGTACGGGGGCATGGGTATGGGTGCCTGGATGCCAGAAGTGGCAGCGGTTCAGTTTGTTCCATGCTCAGCAATTTCCAAAGTGCTTTTCACGTCACGTCTTACAAAAAATCCAGATGGTCGAGCGGCACGGTTGGAAAACTGAAGTCAGAGAGGACAGGTGGTCCATGTCCCCCAGCTGGAAGGTGTCTAGAACAGGTCCTCTGATGACAGGCCCCAGGGCCTCTCCCTGATGATCCCTTTCTAGCCGAGCAGGAAAAATGAAAGCATAAATAATAATAATAAAAATAATAACAGCCACAATGGCAACAATAACAATGACAGCAGCAGCTACTGTTACTGAGGACTGACTGTGTGCTGGGCACAGTTTCTGTGTGTTATCCTGAATCCTCACACCCGCCCTGCATGGCAGGCCATTATGATCCTCATTTCCGGATCAGGAAACTGGCTCAAACAGAGAGCGGAAGTAACTTACCTAAGGCCACACAGCCAATGAGTGGCAGAGTTTGGAGTTGAATTTGGGCCTGTTGGGCTCCAAAGTCCACTCTCCTTCCACTCTGTCACTTGGCCTTGAGGTGCCAGGCCAAGGCCCAGGGGGTTGGGGTTCGACTGATTGCCTGGCACAGTGCCTGTCAGATCCCATAGGTGCTCGAGGGTCTTTGGATGGATCAGTGGCTGGGTGAACAAGTGAGTGAGTGAATGAGTGAATGACAAAGCTGTCAGATCTGCAGGCAACTGAGTACGATGGTGGTCTCTCTCCTAGACCCCAGACATTTCCACCAGCCAACCCAACAGCAAATCCAACAGTGGCGCCAAATCTGGAAGCCAACAGATTCCCCAGGACAGCCAGCCGAGCTCTGCCCAGGACTCAAGCATTCTGGGCAAGGAGCGCGAGGGGGCCGGCCCCGCGGACCCCATGCTGATGACCAGCATCAACGGCGAGAAACCCCAGGAGTCAGGCCCCGGCGGGACACCGGCCAAAAAACCTGTGCCCTTCAGGAGAGGAATAAGAAGAGGCGACGTGTTGCTCATGGTGGCCAAGCTGGACCTGGACGCCGCCAAGCCGGAGCAGAGGGCCCAGCCCCGTGATGGCCCCACCTGCAAGTCCCCACCGCCAGCCACAGACCCTGGAGGGGAGAAGAAAGGGGAGACCCCAGGGCCTCCTCGTGGCCCCCAGGCCAGCACTGAGGATGCAGCCCCGAAAGCTGAGAAGACTCAGACTGGGGGTCTTGGGGACCCAGGCCAGAAGGCACAAGGCACAGGGGAGAAAGGGGGCGGGGCCCCCCAGACCAAAGGGCCGAAAGGGGGTGAGGGCAACGAGGGGCCAGGTGAAGGGGGGCAACCACGGACGGCGGAGAAGGGGGCAGGGGACCCCCCAACCGAGATGGCAAAGGGAAAACTCTCCAAGGATGCCGGCGGGGAGGGGAGGTGGGCTGGGGCCCAAATCCAGATGAGAAGGTGGGGAGGTTCCCTGGGCAGAAGGAGTAAGTGGTACGGTCCCCAGAGTAAGAAGGACAGAGAGGGTGACCTCCTAAGTAAGGCAGAGAAGACAGATGGACCTCAGATCAAGACGGAGACGGGCAACGCACAGGGGAAGGTTGGCAAGGTGGGGGAAGCTCCCAGACTGACCGAGAAGGCAGGGGAGCCCCTGGGTGAGATGGGGAAGGTGGGGCAGCCTCAGGGTGAGGCCGGGGAGGCAGAGAGGGCTGGGAGCAAGACTGAGAAGGGCTGGGAAGCCCCCAAGGAGGCGGACGCACGGGGGGAGACCCCAGCGGCAGCTAGGAACGCGGGCCGGCCAGACAGGAAAGGGCAGAAGGCAGAGGAACCCTGTGCCAGAGTGGACGTTGGGGCCAAAGCTTTGGAGACGCTGCTGGCAGGACCCAGACCCCCCGCTCTGGAGAGCCAGGCAGAGAGGACTCAGACACACAAGGAGAACCAAGAGGGGCCGGCCCTGCAGGAGGGGGGCAATGGAGGCCAGAGTGGAGCCTCTGACCAGGACCAGGTGAGCAGCTGCGGCCCGGGAGAGGGGAGGGGCAGCGGGACCCTGCAGAGAAGGAGGGATGGGAAGGACCTGCCCCTGAGGGTGGACAAGGTAGGGACAGGGAATTGGAGAGGGCTGGCCAGCCCAGAGGAGGGAACAAGCAGGGATCTCGAGGCCCCCACTGCCACCTGTCCCGGGGGTGAGATTCCTCATAGAGTGAAGGAGTCCCCAAGAATGCGAGGTGTCCCCTCCTGGCCGAGCTTGCTCACAATGTCACATGAGAGACTGCTCAAGATGCAGCCTTCTGGGCCCGCCTTGGGGCCTGTCATTCAAAAGGCCAGGGATGGGGTCACGGCATCTGCATTTGAATGAGCCCCCCACTTCCCCTAGGCTACATTGGGAGGAGCTCCCAAGCAAGGGGTGCACCCTCACATGGGGGTGGGGGTGGGGGGCAGCGTCATCCTGGTTTAATTCTGTGGTCTGTGTCCTCAGGCTCCAGAAGACAGATGGTACGAGGCCGAGAAAGTCTGGCTGGTCCAGAAGGATGGATTCACCCTCGGTAATTAGGGGTGTTAGCACATCTGCGGGAGGGGGTCTAAGTCTTTTCCTCTTGCGCCTCCTACTGCTGCTAGCCACATTTGCCAGGTCCTGATCATGGTTTGGGGAGAAAGGAGGAGAAGGAGCGGCTGAGAACAGCATGGGGATACATGGTTTTGGGGGTGGGAAGAGCTGAGCATCATCTCACCCTCGGCAGTGGTCCACAGGGTGCTGTTTCAAAGGTGTTTGAGCTTTGGTGATTAACTGTTAACTAATTCACTGGTGCAGCAATGTTGTTTGGTTCCTACAGCCTTCCGCCAGGAATTCGGAGTCTAGTGCAAGTGGGCAAATAGATTTCATCTCATGAACCCCCTCTTGTGGATTAGTTGTGACCACACTCCACTGAGAAGCGATTCTGAGTCCCTCTCAGAACACGGCCGGGAAAAGTGATTGATTAGTGATGCCTGTCGTGGGCACTGGGAGGGGAGAGGGCAGCCTGCATACCTTTATCTGCCATCCCAGGTCTAGGTACATGATTGGTACCATGCATCCAGCCACCTGGGTGCCTACTCTGTGCCTGACACTGTGCCAGCTGATAAAAGTCCAGGGTGAGGCGGACCTATTCTCTGTCCTCAAAACATTTGGGGTCACAATTCAGAACCCTCCAAGTGAATAGGCTGCAGCCCTGGGAGTGGGGAGGGGCTGGCGGGACCCTCCAGAGAAGGGTCTTGTCCCAGGACCCCTCTCCAGCTCCCTGGTCTGGCTCAGCAGCTCAGAGCCTGTCTCTCCTCCCCTCCCCTCCCCTCCTCTTCCCTTCTCATCTCTCTTTTTTTGGCCTGTCCACCAGCAACGGTGCTGAAGCCAGACGAGGGAACAGCCGACCTGCCAGCAGGAAGGGTGCGCCTTTGCATTGATGCTGACAAAAGCATCACCGAGGTGGATGAGGAGCATGTTCATCGGGTGAGCCCCCTCCCCTGGCTGCTCCACACCTTCCTTCCTCACCCCTGCAAGAGGTCTCCTGGTCCCTGACTGTGGACACTTCTTTGGCTTGATGCTCTGGAGGGAGTGATAGGGAAGATCACTATCGCACTCATTGCCCTGCTGGAACTATATTGTTAGGGGGTCACTACTCTGTCCCACAGCGTCCCCTTTATGAGGGTGCCTGAAGACATAGTTTTGCCAGGTCTTGGGCCTGGGAGTTCTTCTGCTTGACCCGAGAAAGTGATTGCTTTTCATTTTCTGGACGTCGCAACTCACGTTACAGAGCCTGTTTCCTTTTTCACCCTGGCTGCTGGGGAACTCAGAGCCAAATTTGCTGCTTGCCATTACCCATAGCATAGGTTCCAATGGCCTAGGTTTTGGGTATCAACCTTTATTTTGGTTTTGCTTTTTCAGTTGTTTTGTATAAATTTTACAGTGCACCATAAACCTATTTGAGGATAAGTTGAAGTAGGACAGAAAAAAAATTGGTGTCCTGATCCTTTTCCACCCCTCACAGCCCACTAATTGAGAAGGAGTTTCCTCCAGGAGCTCCGTGTGGGCCTCGTTCATCTTCATCCCTCTCCGCTCCTCCTGTGCCCACCCCAGGCCCTTAGAAGAAAGGCTGATCCCTAAGGGAGCCCAGGCTTGACCCAAACCCCAGAGCAATAGGCCCAGAGACCTTCTAGAAGTGGAAAGAATGGCGGGAAGGCTTTTAGAATGGATGCCCCAAGCGGAAGCTGCAGGAACCCCTTACTTCTGGAAGAGTTGGGCACATCTCCAAGGGATCGATGCCTGATGGGCCAGCAGAGAAACGGGGCTGTTTGGCCATTGGCCTCCATCTCTGAGTGTCACAGAGAGATGCAGGGTGCCCCCACAAGACCCCGAAGAGGGAGAAATGGCAGTGGGCCCTGCCTTGCTCTGGAACACCCCCTTCTTTCTGTGTGTTTGAGACACAGAAGGCGCTCTGCATCTCGCTGTGTCTGTCTTAGGCGCATCTCCCCTCAGGGGCCAAGGAGTGTGGGAAGGAAGGACCCATGTGAAGAGAGGGGTGGCTCTCAGGCTGTACCAAGGGCAAAGTAGAAGGGATGTCCTATTTCATTTGTAGGGTATCCTCTCTCTCTGTCCTGGTCTTTGGCACCCCTCTCCTGGGACGGCCTCACCAGGGCTGTGTGCGAGTGCAAGGGGGGTGGTGTGGGGGCCCAGGAGGCCAGAGGACACTCTGTGTGCTGGTTCACAGGCCAACCCCCCCGAGCTGGACCAGGCCGACGACCTGGCCTCCCTGGTCAGTGTCAACGAGTCGAGTGTCCTGAACACGCTTCGGCACCGCTACGAAGCTGGGCTGCTGCACACCTGGACCGGGCCGGACCTGATCGTCCTGCAGCCGCGGGGGTCCCCGGCGCCTTCTGCAGGCAAGGTGAGCGGGGACCGTGGGGGCAGGGTGGTGAGGACAGGTGCAGGAGGGGTGGGCTCGGGGTGGTCCCTCTGCATCTCAGGGAGAGCAGAGCGCCCTGCGAGCCTGTCTGTGAACAGCATCCTGCCAGACATGAGATTCGGGCACATCGCAGGCCGTCAAGGACCCTGTGATCCTCCCGCCTTGGAGAGGAAAGATAGTAACTGATAGAAACAACAGAGGAGCGTTAAAGACGGCGATAAGAAGAGGAATAGTGAATGAGTGCCACCCGGGTACCAGGCGCTGCTTCAGGACTTTCGCGTAGTATCTCAATTAATTCTCACGCCCACTGAAAAGACGGGCGCCGTCACTAGCCCCATTTGACAGACGTGACCTGGCCGGGCCAGCGGCTAAACGCTCATCTTCAGCAAGCAGAGGAGGCGGAATCAAGGCCAGGCCACCAGCTCCTCTGCGCTCTGAACCCCAGGCTGGGCTCTTGGGGGTCCCGGAGGCCCATAGATGTTGGCATGGAAACAGCAGCCTCGGCTCTGCTTTGGTTTGCTTTGTTCCTGCGAAGTGTGGAAATAGGCAGCTTTGGTGAGGACGGTCAAAGCAAAGCCGATCTCTCTGTGCCCCCTTGAGGAACGGGCTGCAGTCGCAGCTCGGCGATTTGAGCGGGATCCCCTTCATTCATTCACTGCTGTTGATGGACACATGGACTGGGGGTTCTCCTACAAGCCAGCCACTGGCTGGGGAGGAGCAGGGGAGAAGGCGGGCTCAGAAGGCTGCACTCGGGAGCTTCCATTCGAGTGGGGAAGACGGTCCCCCAACAATAAGATAACAGTGGGCGGAGCGGACGAGGGTGGAGGAGGCGACAGTGAGGAGCCCGGAGAAGCGGGACCCTGTCTTAGACGTGGTCTTAATGATCTGGCTTTTACTCTGAGCTTGACGGCAGCTGCTGGAGACTTGGCAGAGCGGCTAGGTGGTCTGACTTACATTGTAAGGACCTTGGCTCCGGGTGGAGGACAGATGGCAGGGGCAGAGGTGGAGGCGGGAGACCCGAGGCAGATCGGACGTCTTGTCTGCGTGCGGTCCTGAGGATTGTCGGTGGGAAGATGCAGCCCCCAGGACACCCGCTGATGCACCGCGGGGGCCTTGCAAGATCACGGTGCCTCGCTGGCCTCGGTGTTTCGTCTGTCAATGTGGGTGAAAAGCCACATCTTGCCTTCTGGAGTCCCATGGGACAAATATGGTCCTAGCCCCCCAGTGATGCTGAGTCCAGCGGCCCTGCACCCTTCTCCCCAAGACTTCTCTTCTCCGGATACCCCGCCCCACCTCCTAAGTCATCCTTCAGGCCCCTCCCCAGCCTGCTGGCCATGGCCAGGGGCCTGGAGGACGACAGCTGGGCACGTGCATTTTCCCCTCCCTTGCTGTGACGGCTGTGCTCCTGTTACTGCAGCCCAGGGCCTCTGAGCCTTCCAAGAAGCACAGCGAGTCCTCTGGCTCCTTGGGAGCCCCTGGGAGGGACATTTTGTGCAGGCCTCCGGGCAAGCCAGATTCTCCCCGCCTCTCCCCGATCGCGGCATCCATTGCAGAACGGGGCCAAAGAGCCTAGGAGGACAGCCGCGGGAGCACGGCCTGGAAGGAGGAGCTGGAGTCTCAGGGTCACCTAAGCCCCTAGCCCAGGGCCCCCGTTCCGTTCCCTCAGGCCCTCCAGCCTCCCACACCCCAACCCACAGCTGCCTCCTATTCTTTGGCTGAGTCGCATCTGCTTCCTCAAATGGCCACCAGGTGGGAGCACAGACCCGCGGTGAGGCTGCCACTGGGGCCACCTGGAAGTCGACCGGGGTGGGGGGTCCGGGGCAGGGCTGGGGGCCTCTCTCACTGGGAGTCTGGGCCCACCTGGCGGCTGGGAGCTGGGTGGGTGCCTGGAGGGGGGTGCAAGTGGGCAGGATCGTGTGGGGTGTAGATGGGCCCCCTCTGTGTGCAGGGGCCTCTGCCACTGTCGGGTGCGTGTGCCTGTGAGCACACCTGCGTGCAAGCATGCAAGGGCACGTGTGCACCAGTACATGTGTGTGTGCATGCACCCGTGTGTGTACACAGGGGCCTGGAGCTGCAGAATTGTCTCTTCCTCTGATGGGGGCCGATGGATGGGATAACCTGTCCCCTGGACTTCAGAGTTTCCAGGGTGGGAGGCGGCTTCAGACCCCAGGACCCTCTGCCCGTCTCATGCCCTAAGGCTGTGTCCAGCCGGCATGGGGCTTGTCCCACCTTTGGGGTCCCTCTGAGGCCTGTGTTTTGCATCAGGATAGGGACTCTTTACTGGGCGTCTTGGAGCAGGAAAGGCCAAGGGTGGATTGGGGGCACCCCTTGGCCCCAGGCTGGGGGTCCAGGCTCGGGGGAGGGCCACCACACTGGGGCTGGTGCCCCTGGTCCCGTGGAGGCACTCGGGGTGGGGTCTTCCTGGACCCAGTGGTCGCCCACGTAGCATCCCAGCTTCTGGTGTCCTCCTCCAGCCAGGCCGGTGCCCGGCCCCCTTGGTGCCCTTCCACTGACCCCTCTGTCCCCGCTTGCCCTCTTCCCTTCACGCCTAGCACACTCTCGTCACCCCAGGGAGCTCCGTGCTGCCCAACCCACTGCCAGACGGTCCAGCCTCTGGCCTCCTCTGACTTGACCCTCAGCAGCGTGTGTGGAGCCGGCCCCCCTCCTCCGCCATCGCTCCCTCCTGGGCTCCAGGACGCCGCTCTCCTGGTTCCCTCTGGCCCGTGGCCCTCCTTCTCAGACCCCCTGCGGGCCCTCCTGACCTCGCCGAGCCATCCCCATCCCCATGTCCCATCCTCAGCAGCCTCTCATTTACTTTTTGTCCCTATAATTTTGCCTTTTCTGAAAAGTCATCTCAATGGAGTCCTACAGCTCGTGCCCTCTGAAATGACTTCTTCCACTTAGCCCAGCACGGGGCTTCACCCCAGGGCTGGACCTCCAGCCGCTCGTCTCTTTATTTTACTCTCTTTTATTGCTTCTCCCTTCACAGGGGCACCAATTGTCCTGGTTTCCGTGGGACCCAGGGGTTTCCTGGGACCTGGGACTGTCAATGCTAAAACCAGGATGGGTCGTGAGCTGAAGGACATTTGGGCTGTTTCTGGTTTTTGGTGATTTTGAGTATATGTTCACTATACGCAATGACATGGAGGGTTATTGTGGACATAAATGGTCGTTTCTCTTGGGAAAATACCCCGGAGTGGACCGCTGGGCTTTCTGACGGGCGCATCTCAAGGTATAAGAAACAGTGAGTTGTTTCTTGTATGTTTCTCACTGTATAAGAAACTGTTGGGGCCGGCCCGGGGGCGCAGTGGTTAAGTGCTCACGTTCCGCTTTGGTGGCCCAGGGTTCGTTGGTTTGAATCCTGGATGCGGACATGGTACCACTTGGCAAGCCATGCTGTGGAAGGCATCCCACATAGAAAGTAGAGGAAGATGGGCACGGATGTTAGCTCAGGGCCAGTCTTCCTCAGCAAAAAGAGGAGGATTTGCAGCAGTTAGCTCAGGGCTAATCTTCTTAAAAAAAAAAAAAAAAGGAAACTGTCAAACTGTCTTCTGGATGTTGTACCATTCAGCGTCCGACAGCACCGTGTGACAATTCCAGTCGCTCCCATCTTCACTGGAACTTGGTAGTGAGTGTTAAAAAAATTAAAACCATTTCTTAGCCATCCTATTAGGTGAGTATGGTGTCTCCTTGTTGTTGGCTGGGATTTCTTTTATCCGTTGTGTGGTGTTGTGTCCCCGGTGCCTGGACAGTGCCTGCTACATGGTACATGCTCAGTGGATTTTTTTTATTGATGAGGAGTGAATGAATGGATGGACGGATGGTTGGATGGCTGGATGAAGTGGAAGGAATTTCAGCCGTTACCTAAATTGGTTCTGGCAAATGCACAGCACATGTACCGCCAGCTGCCCCAGCCCCATTTTGTTTCCACGGCAGACATCACTAATCGATTGCGCCATTTCATCGAGCTGCCTCATTCCAGGCAGTACTTCCCAATAATTTGAGCAGCAAGTGAGATGAGCCCCATGAGCTAATGCAGCCCGGGGTCCAGTCTCCTGTTAGCTGAAGAGGACATCTGGGCCCAGAGCGGCCGCCAAGGCTGCCCGAGGACTCACAGCGAGCCCCGGGCAGGGCTGGACTCCAGGCTGGGCTCTTCCTGGTGAAATGCGAGACTTCTCCAGCAAGGAGGGGGCAGGACGGGAAGCAGGGACATGGAGCTGGGCTCGAGGCTGGGGTGGCATGCCATCTGGGGTGCTCCCTGGGCACCGGCGGGGGTGGGAACACTGATGCCTGGGGTCTTCCTACAGGTGCCCAGATGCCGCTGGGACGGCCTGCCCGCCCACGTTGGCTCCCTGGCCCAGCGGGCGTACTGGGCGCTACTGAACGAGCGGAAGGACCAGAGCATCGTGGCCCTGGGCCGGAGCGGCGCCGGGAAGACCACCTGCTGCGAGCAGGTCCTGGAGCACCTGGTGGGGATGGCAGGCAGTGTGGATGGCACGGTCTCAGGTATGGTGGTCTCCAGGTGCCATGCATTGGGGGTGGGAAGGACGGGGGGAGGGAGGATTGGAGTGGGCGCTGGGCTGCCCCTCCCTATGTCCACTCAGCTGGCAGTCACTGAGCATATGTGCTGACTGTGCTTGCCACTGGGCCACCCCTAGTCCATGGGACACCTTTGTGCGAATTAGAAAGAGGTCCTCCTTCTTCAAGACATTCACAGCCATCTGTGGGGCAATCCTCCACTGACATTGTTAGAACCGAACACTGGACGGCCACGTGCTGGGGAATCATCCTAATCAGCATACAAATCTACAATAGTATGATGAAATGAAGTGCCCCTTGGACACGGTGTCCTTGTGCAGTGCACAACCTGCTGAACTGTACAGAGGACCCAACAAGTCAAGTCAGGAGGGCAGGGCCTGTGCTCGGGAGGAGCTGACAGCCAGAAGGGAAACTGAACCACCCGTATCTGCCAAACTCGAGTGCTCTGCACAAAGTGCTGGTTAGGGGAGAGGCAGAGGGAGC